GTCTCATAAAATTTTTTTGAAAAATTTTAGTTCCTGTTAAAATTAATTATGTCGTATATCTTCCCTTTACTCGTATTTATAATATTGTGTCTACAACCGAAACCGATGTCATTCGATCGGATTAAAATATGTACCAGTGTTAGGTACAGTAGGTCAAAATATGACTTTTTTCAAAATATATACGTGTTTCTTCTCGTCTATATAACTTATTACCTCTTGTTCATATCATAATTTGTTCCAAATAGTACAGATGCCATTTCTTTATTTTCTTTTGGGATAAATAAATAAATAAATATTTAAAAAATTGCTACTTTTTTGCAAAATTAATTATACCCTTCACCTTCGAGAGAATGGTATATATAAGTATGTCATTCCGTTTGTAATTTCCACAATGTTATAACCGCATATTTTTAATTTTTAGTGCATGAAAATCCTTACCTTGGTAATAAGTCAAATAGACACATGTTGGGCAAAAATGTTAAACTTTGACCCTCTGTAACTCAGAAAGTTCTTAACCGATATTGTTGAAAAATTGTGCCTAAACTACTATCCAATAGGACTAACTTTAGTGCATCCCGATCAGAAGTCTTCGTTTTAAAAGTTGGGTTACTTGGTATGAAATCCCCCATATACATATGTATAAAAAGTGATTCCAAAAAGTTTATTTATTAATGAATTGTAATCAAAGTGCATTTTTTAGAAATCTCTAGGATAAGTTTTTAGAAACAAACCGAGATCTTTGAAATAGTTTGTTATTTTTATTTTTTATTATTATTTATTATCACATTTTCTGTATAGCCGGTCGATTGGAAAATATACCAAAATGACAACACTGCTAAATGTTCGTAAAAAATAAATTTTTTTTTTTTATGAATTGAATGATTTGACTACTTAACTCTGCTGTTTTTTATGACGACTTCTATTATACTTTAAATGTGACTACATACTATTTGGATATTGTATTTGTTATTTGTTTACTTATTTATTTATTGTGTGAATGTGTTTTTTATTTTATTATTAAATCGTTCATTGTTTTTGTTTTCTTTATTTGGTACATTGTGTTATTTTTGCACTTTGTTTTAATTTTTTGCTAGTAAGTAAGTGACACTCTACTCAGTTGCATTTCTGTTGTTGTGCATCATATTAAAATATTTTTAACCCCAGAATTCATAAGCGATTAATAAAGTTGTTGATGGTTTATTAGAGAAATTTTGTATAAAAAAATGGGTAATAAAGCATTTACAAGTCATTGATAACTTTATGAATACGGGACTAAAATGCATTATTTATGACTATTGTTATTGCTTGCACTCTAGCAATATCGCAATTATTAGTAGTATTTCGGTTGTTTTTTTTTTTATTGCGTTGAAACAACAAAAATTGCTGATGATGTTTATTGCATTGAACTAAATTCCTTTCCTTTTTGTTGTCGTTTATTCCGTGTTTTGTTTTGATTTGAATTTCGGTTTTACTTCCTAAAAATTTTTATATTTTGTTGACATTTTTCTCTTTATTATTGGAGCTTCGTAAGGGAAAGTGCACTCATACTCATAGGATAATTATTTTACAATTACAAGTGGACCTTATATGGAGGATAGGGTAAATTTTTTACCAATCATACAATTTAGGGACATTATATGAGGGATATGTCAATTATGGACCGATCATCATGCAATTTGGTGCAGAGATTTATGCTCTAATAGTGTCGAATTCCATACCAGTACAATTATTTTTATGGTTTTAAGAAGCGTTAAAGTCATTTTTTAAGTGGACCTTATATGGGGAATTGGGTCAATTTTATAACAATCATCAAACAATTTGGTATAGATATTAAAATTTTTATGAAACTTGTTTATGTCTCTGTACATTTATTTTGAGGCTTTTAATAAGCGTTAATGTTATTGTCTGGAGGTGGCCATATATGGAGGATAGGTTTAATTATGTGCCAATCATCATAATTTTATACAAAGATTTATATACCAATGTTCATGTTGTATTTCGTCGCAGTACAGTTATTTTTATACATGTAATGGGCTTTACCGTTATTTTCTGAAGGGTGTTAATTATTGACCGATCATCATGATCTTCGGTAGAGAGATTTTGGTTCCTATAAAGCTTGTTTATGTCGATTTTCATCGCAGTACAAGATGTCTAAGAGCTTAACCTGAACAACGACCTTATTTCACGGCGATCTTTATCACCCACAGGTGAGCTTCTTTGACGGCTCATCAACGCCCCTTTTGCGTATCTTACACGCAGGTGGCAATTTTTGTTCATGGGTCTGCCGGTCCATGCACAAACACTTTGCTCAAGTACTCGAGCTATGGAAAAGGCAATCACTGGTTTAGAGCCGATAGAATAGGCGGACCCAACATCAGGTGAAAACACCCTATTGATGTTATGAGGAATGCTTCAAGGCATTCTCATCATCTAAAGACTCACCCCAGTGCATTCTTAAGTCGCCCAACCACACTACTGAGATCGTTCTGTTGTTTCCGCAACAGCATCTAGGGACGTAATTGGTAGTTCGAAACACAGATCTATATTTAATTAGCCAGACTTATTTCAGTACCCACAAGGACATACTGTGATAAGTTGACCAAGAAGGAAAATCGCCGATAAATTAAAGATTATGGTATTAACAACTCCGCCAACATATCACCAGTTTCGCCAAACATGTCACTCTGTATCACCAAATATCCTTCCAAGCATCCCTTCCCGTGAATATGGGTTTAAACCAAAGCCACTACGTGGATCCTGAAGGAGCCTCAACCAACTGGCCACCCGAAAAATTGGCGAGGATACATTTGATCATCACCAGCTCATATTCTCAGCAGGCTACGGGTACTGGTAGCACCTCTTTACCCGAGATTGTAATGCACCAAGATGTGGACTTCCATTATGGAAACATGCCCTAGGGGGGGGAACGTTAACAGCAATATTTTGATGTGTTAGTTATTTTGTATAAAAAGTATAAAAGTAATATTTATAACAATTTTTCTAACAAATTTTACGACGAAAAAAAACTACAATGTCTCTCAATAAAAATATTTGTTAATCAATTCCCGGAAATGAAAAAAGTCCTAGAACATCAGTGTTTATTTATTAGCAAATACATGTTTAATTTATTTATTTAAATGTTATGTTACATTTTTATAATAACTTAACGGCTAACCAAACAGTTTTCAAATACATGATGCCCAATTCAAATACGGACCCAAAACTATTATTTAAGTAGTTTTTCTTAATAATATTTGTATCTCCGGATTGATTGTCAAGCATGGTTAGCTTATCGAAATTTAGACTGATTTTTTTATCAAAACTAATAACATCACATTCTGCTTATAGAATTTGATTTTTCCATTGAACTTTTGTGTTTAGCACAAAACTTAAAGCACTCATGCGAAGGATTGCCACAAAAACAATCATTTACATAAATACATACATACATATGTATGTATACGTTTTATTATTATTATTTATTTTAAATTCTAATTTATACGTGATAATGACGAAAAAATTATTTTAGCATAAATATAATTTTTACTGTAATCGTAGTAAACGATCTGCGATATTAGTTTAAAAAAAGCACTCACATTAGTCATAATCTATGGTACATACATACAGTGTCTCTCATAATTATTCGAATTTGGGTAAACTATAAAAAGAAACCAAATTTAATAATATATTTTGTGTGCAAAATAAATAAATTAATTTGTTATATTGTCTAGATAGTCCTTATGTTTGATATCACGCTTTTTAAAACTTGAAAAATTTGCATTGATTTAAATTAATTGTGCTTTTTTAAAAAAAAGTCCATGAAATTGCCTCATAAAAGTATACGAATTTTTCCTGTATTTCATATTTGATCATATTATACGCAACACAAATTTTAGAATCGAATGGTTTTTATGCGTAATATTGTTTTAAGGGGTTACTATCCACGGAAAGGACATATTTTTGGCCCATTTGGTCCACAATTTTGCGGAATTTGTACCCTCTTTTCATGTAATATCATTAAAATAGCGATTTTTGGCCATAATTGTAAATTTTTCTCCTTTTTTCCAGAGATAAAACAAAAATTTGATATTGGGACTTAAAAGACCCTTTGGGGTATCTAAAAATAATATCTTTTGTTACAAGAATCTGTATTTAAACGTTCCAAGATAAATTATTCGGATCATTCTTCTTTCGCTAATTCAATATATTGGAACTTAAGTCCATTTTTATAATACTACGATCAACTATTTTCGGGAAAAGTTTTCTGGTATATATTCTTTTAGATATCAGCTTCCCAGCTAGCATTTACATGATTCATTGGCGAGCGCGATGATTTTGCGACTATTTTTTTAATCGTCCACACGATTGTCCTCATTTTGTGAATCTTTTTTCAATCTTCCAGACGATTGTTTCATTTTGTGACTCGTTTTATAATCGTCCTGACAATTATTTAAAAAAATATATATTTTAATGAACCAAAAGATGCTTTTGCGAGTAATTTTGGCGATTGTTGAACGAATTAATCGTCGCTTATGTATTTTAGCGATCATCGGAGGATTGTTGTTAGTCAACGATCATATTTTACTCTTCCAAATGATGCATATATTATTGTCAAACCGGTTTATTTATATTACGCAACAATCGCCGATTACGGATTCTGGAGATAGTTGGGCGAATTTTACCGTTATACGTATAAACGTTTAGCAAAAACAAATTATTTTGTCTTCTTTTCAACTCAGTTTATAATCAGTGTCGAGACAAGTAAGAATAAAAAGTGGTTTATTAAATTAAAAATTTAATTTTTAATAAAGTTTCTTATAAATACTAAGTGTATTAACTAAAAAGTGTTTTATTAGAAATCAAAAATTAAATTTATAATATAAAATAATTTATAATGCTATCAAATAAAGCAATAAGATTAAAAAGCAAACGAGAAGCAAAAAATATGATGGAGTCTGCTTATAATGAAGTGGGATCATCCAAAAAACAAGTTAAAGGCAGGGAAACATCTGATTGCGATGATGTCCCAATGAAAGTCAGTTCTTTCGAAAAATTGGTTGAATCGGATTTCACTGAAACATCATCCGTTTGCGATAATTTTCCAGTTGAATATATAGAAGAAGTGAATTGCAACAAATACAAAACAAACCGCCAGATAATCAGACAGGTATAAGAACATACTTTATATTACATTAATTCTTTCAGATAGTAAACAAAATATGTTGACGGAGATTTTAGGAGAAGTGCGCACGCTAAAACAGCAAATCGGCAGACTAACAGAGGAAGTGATAACCGTAAGAAATGAAGTGCGTCAGTTAAAATTAATTTATTCTGAGGAAATTAAAACCAATTTAGTGCCACCTTTACCCATAAAAACTGTAAAACAGTTGGAAGAATTACATAAACAAATAGAAGAGAACGTGGATATTGTAGCTCAATTGGTATGTATATAATTATCCGTCTATATACATATTTTTTAATATAAACATACATATATACATATATTCATATCAAAATTTTTACAGAAATACGTTATTGGTAAAGTGGGTGGCGACAGCTCCAACTCGTTTGTCAGGAATGCAATTAAAAAAATGCTGAGCGATGATGTGGCTGCAAAATTGAGTTGGCGTGGAACGAACAGTAAGCCCAGTATTCAGGAATTCAATATAACGAAAATTATAACAAGTAAGTATTTTTTATAACATGATTTTACTGAATTCTAATTATTTTCTTTTTAAAGGTGTCTGCCATTCAAAATTTCCGAAAGCTGATGATGCAGGTATAAATAAGGTATTACAACAACATTTTGTTCATGCTGGTGACCGTCTCAGAAAGAGTGACCGAACCAAAAAGATTGATGAAGCCAAGAAAATTGACGATTTGGCTGAAAAATAACTTTATTTTTTAATAATTTTTCTATTGCATAATTATTTCCATTATTCATATGTATGTATTTATTTTCATAATTGAATTCAAATTTATAAAAATAACTTTATTTTTTAATAATTTTTCTATTGCATAATTATTTCTATTATTCATATGTATGTATTTATTTTCATAATTGAATTCAAATTTATATTTAATTTTTTTTTTATTTAAAGTTGACAAAAAATGCCAATGCAATAAACAGTATAAAACGAATATCAATACTTTTTATTTTTAGCATATTTTTAGGCATTTTAGGATCAATTAAAATCTTCTTTACGATCGTTCCAAGACTCTTCTATAATTCTTTTTATCGCATCGTAGAAGATTCATTAAGACGATTTTGTAAAGATTCTGTTTATCGCATCGTAGAAGATTCATTAAGACGATTGTGTAAAGATTCTGTTTATCGCATCGTAGAAGATTCATTAAGACGATTGTGTCAAGATTCTTTTTAACACATCGTAGACGATTCATAGAGAAGAGTCGCGGCTGTGACACAGTTACTCCCGTTGCGTTGAACTTTCGTAATTGGAATACGATATCGTGGAAGATTAATTTAATCGCCACCTCCAATCGCGGAAGACCCTTTTTTGAAAGAAAATGCTAGCTGGGTTTTATACATTTTAAGTTTTCAATGTGTTGTGAAAGTGTACAACTCCAAAACATGCCTCGAAGAAACACCATTCAAAATAGTAAAATCATTATTTTTATATACCACTGGACTCCATGCTGCATGGCACGATATCATTATGATCACATCAAAAATGTTGATATGTGTTTAAATATTATTTACTATGATCAAATTGAAACCAAAATTTAGGACTTACAGTGTTATTGTAACGGGCAACATAAGCGTGAAAGTTACGAGTAGTAAAAACTGGAATCTACTATATAGGATGACGTTTTGTTAAGGCATGTTTTGGGGTTGTATACCGCTATAATATATTGAAAATTTAAAATACATTAGTGCCAATATGTACATGAATATACACTAGACAACTTTGTCGAAAAATATCGTCCCTAGAGGTACGAAAAGGGACTTATGATCCAGATAATTCAATTAGAAACTGAAAAACGATACCAAAAATACATCTTGGAACGTTTAAGTACAGATCCTTATAACAAAAAATATTATTTTTAGATACCCTATGGGTTCTATTAAATTCCAATATTAAATTTTAGTTTTATTTCTGGAAAAAGGGTGAAAACATTACAAATATAGCCAAAAATGAAAAGAGGGTACAAATCCCCCAAAATTGTGGACCAAATGGGTCAAAAATATATCCATGCGGTTGATAGTAACCCCTTAAAGCCATATTAAGCATAAAACCATGCGATTCTAAAATTTGTGTATCGTATAATATGATCAAATATGAAATACAGGAAAAATTCGCATACTTTTGTGAAGTAGTTTCATGGACTTTTTTTAAAAAAGCACAACTAATTTAAGTAAATGTAAAGTTTCCAATTTTTAAGGGGCGTGATATCAAAACTAAGGACTATCTAGACAATATAACAAATTTATTTATTTATTTTCCACACAAAATATATTATTAAATTTGGTTTCTTTTCATAGTTTACATAAATTCGAATACTTATGAGAGACACTGTATGTATGTTTGTTAACTAGTACTATTTAGTACTTCAAATATTGGTTATTAAAGAATCAGCAACAATAGCGTCAAGAGTACTTGTACTCTTACTAAAAATAATATAAAACTTTTTGTTGCTGTAGTTATTCGCAAACGAGTGGAGTACATTTCATAATTTTATCGAGCAAAAATAAGGTGGATATGAACGGATGATAGAAACAGAGAAAAAAAAACAATAACAACATGAATAATGAACTGGATGTAGTATAATGAGACAAACAACAAAAATACATACAATAGTCAATAATAGCAACTGCAACAACAGTAAAAAAGCTCACATAAGAACAAAGTCTATTATGCGAGGCTTAATTGAAAAGTTCTACCTATCATCTTATTGTATTGGAACGAGTAGGGTCAGATTACTACTAAACTACTAAAATGAGATTAAAGTTTGTAATCAATTCGATTGGTCCTATCTTCAACATGTATGTATATACATATGTATATAGTATGTATGTACATATTTTTAATATTATTATTAAAACTTATTTTTATTGTAAAGGCTTTGTGATTTACCCTCGTAATCCTCTCTGTGACGAGGTTCTTTGTGCTTCTCATGATAACAATAATAATTATAGTTGTTGTTGATGTTGCTCTTATGTCTATGGTCATTTGGTTGTATTTGTGTACATTCCAGCTATTAGCGCAAACCATTATAGCAACTATAGAAACAAGTAAACTGCGGCTGTAGTTAGTATTCTGTTCTAACTACATATTAGCCATAGTAAGATATGCATACTATGTATATGAAGCTAATGTGTAGTTGTTGTGGATTGTAGTGGTGTTAGTTACAGTAGTGGTATAATTCCGTCTATATGGATGGGATGGATGGCGGGTTGTTTGTATAAATTGACTGCTAGCCATACGGTATGACAGTCGGAATAACCAGCAAGTAAGAAAAATAAAATAAAAACAAACAGAAAAAAGACACAAATACATTCATAGAGACATTTACGTTTGGATAGAATACAATTGATACCTTGTGCTGTGTTCTTTTCGTATACATGTGAGAATATGTATGCATGTACAAATGTTTGTTTGTTCTTCTGTTGTTGATGTCGATGATGGTGGGTATGTTTGATATTAAGTACATATTCTATAAAAAACCAACAACAGACAGACACTTTCCTATATACATAGATACACTACTCACTTACTAACACGCAAATTGTATAGTCTTACAGCAACAACAACAAGGCAAAATGAAATAAAAATAAAAACAACAACGACGAGTGCTACTACAGCAACAACACACTCACACTTAAATATGTACTCGTATTATACCGTTTTTATTTCATATGGCAAACGTACGTGTACTAACAGAGCATTAGTATTAAAGTGTTACTCAGCATATAAACACCACACACGAGAAATACAAAAGTAAAAACCCGAAATAAAAGAAAGAATAAAATAAAAACAAGAAAATTCATCAAGAGAAAACAAACTCGCTAAAGAAAGATAGTGAGAAAATTTTACTAAATGAAAACTACAAACTTACATGTATTCTGTATACCTATTAACTTTTGGCAAAAGAAAGAATTACCTATTACTTTTGAAATCCTAAATAATTCATTGGCTTTTTAAAAAGCAAAAACAATACCTATTTTATGTGCAAAAATAATAAAAGCAAACAACGCAATAACACAAACAACAATACATATTTTCAAACCAAACCAAGTGTTTTATTGTTGTTATGGCATCAACAACACATCTCCTTACTAACACATAACCTCAAAATTTTATATTTTTTTTTTACTATTGCATTAACACACTAACTCACGCAACCAATACGTCGTACATTCACATACATACATATAGGTATGTGAATTTTTGAACTTTTCAATACGAACCGGGCAATTATAAAAAGGCATATTTGAAATTTTGGAAACTCAAAGATTCGAGATTTCTGCGGAGGTGGAGTGCAATATTTTTTGACAACTATTATTATGAAAATGACAACATTATCAAGACGTTCATCAGGTGCAAATTCGAATGGGTCGACAGATCCAGTGCTATCACCCAATAAAAAGGTAAGAACAAAATTCTATAAACTGTGTTTTTGTGTGTGTTTTTTAATTTAATTGGCGGATCAAACTAAGAACAACCGTTACAATCGCAACATAAATACAAATGTAAGTTAATGGAGTTATTTAAAAGTGCAACACCAATAAATATTTTAATCGATTCGAAAATCGAAAATGTTTCTCAGCCGATTAGTATACTTTAAGGTGGTGACGGGGTGAATCATGGTCTTTAAATTAATTTAATTACAATTACGTTTTATAAATATATTTTATAATGAACTATAATTAAACATTTAATAAAAGCTACAGATAATAGTTTTTGCTTATAGCATTTGAAATTATTATTCCACATAACTGTTCGTAAAACTTTTACTTTAATGATTAAATACCACGATCATTTCTAAACAAATAAAAATATCTTCACAGGATTTTTTGGATAGAACATTTTCTCATGACTATTTTGATCGGAGCAACGGATTAGTTAATACGTATTGTGTTCTATTTGAAATATACTCTATAACTGTAAATAATTTTAATTTTCTGTTTGGAACAAAGCAAATTAAAAACCATAAGGCAACCATTAAAACCTCTTTGTGCTTCAACCAACATTAATATAAATAAAAGTGTGTGTGTTTACTATTAACGTTAATGCGTATTTATTAACCCTTAGAATAAACCAACACACAAACAATAAAAACAAGTGTATAAACCAGACATAACACCATAGTTGTAATTGACTCAGATATACCCATACAAACCCGTCATTATAAAACACGCACAAATACATATGTACATATCCACAGAATAAAATTGTATACAATAATACGTATTGTAAAGTAAGCAAATAATATTGTAAAAAACAAAACTTCAAACTAATCTACGAAGACAACAAGAAGAACAAAGACCATTTCAAACCATGAATTCACTTTTGCATACATATGTATACACACATAATATACATATACATACATACATACATACATACAACATACATACATACATACATACGACATACACACATACATACATACATCTAATACAACAACATACATACATACATACATACATACATACATACATACATCTACATACATCCGAATACATACATACATACTACTACATACATACTCATACATTCATTCATGCATGAAGCATACATACATAATACATAGTACATACCTACATACATACTACATACATACATACATACATACATACATACATACAGACATACATACATACATACATACATACATACATACATACATACATACATACATACATACATACATACATACATACATACATACATACATACATACATACATACATACATACATACATACATACATACATACATACATACATACATACATACATACATACATACATACATACATACATACATACATACATACATACATACATACATACATACATACATACATACATACATACATACATACATACATACAGTGGACGTCCACTAGTACGAATTATATAGTGTCAGGCCCTTTCGTAATACCGAAAAATTCGTATTATTGAACAACACATTTTGTATGTTTAAATTCAAATAATACACATAAAATATTGGATTTTATTTATTTTTGTTTTATTTTTCATGAAAATTTTCATAACGGAACAAAATATAATAAATGTGTATCATTTTAAATAAATTTCTTGTACATAAACAGGCATAAAAGGGACATATTTAAGTATATGAATTGTTAATTTTGAAAGTATCGTGAGTCCAATGGTTGAAATGAGATATATGTAGAAGGTTTTAAATTTTAATGTTTTTAAAAAGATGTGTGCCAAAGACAATTTGCAATTTACATATGTGTTCTAAAATGTATTAAAATGTTCAGATTTCATAAAACTTTTATTAGAAACTTGAATGGAATATACCACAATTCTCTAATTTATAATTTTCTATAACAGCGCTTTTGAGGCTTCAATATTGTTCTCAGCAGAGTTATTGTTGGGAACTAATAAAATACTTTCCTCATTGGCGTTATCATCCAATTTAATTTATTCTCTTGGGTCATCAAAATTCCAATAAAATAAATTAATAACACTAAATAATTGTGGATTTGTAAATATACATGCAGTAAATTGTGTGTATAGGATTTTTAAAAATACAAAACACTTGTAATAAATACAAAAAAATTTCAAAATTACTGAGCTTAAGGTGAATGATACCGAAATAATAAAATAAAAACATAATAAAAACTTCATTCATACGTAAATAAAACCAAAATTCCCATAAAAAATGCGTTATTCGTACTATCGAACAGAAAAATTGTGACTTTATTCGTACTATAGAGTAGACAATGCAACAATTTTGCCATTCGTATTATTGGATATTCGTAATAAAGAGTATACGTACTATTGGACGTCCACTGTACATACATACATACATACATACATACATACATACATACATACATACATACATACATACATACATACATACATACATACATACGTACGTACATACATACATACATATGTATTTCTTTTGCTTTTTATTGCTTTCTAGGATCATGTAACAAACGACAAATATTCATTTAGCCTCAGGGAAAGAAATGTAGAAATAATAAAGTCATCGTCGTCACACAATTGGCATCTATAGAATATCACTAGTCTTCCTAATATAAGCTTGTATAAAACAAACGAGTTCAATCTAAAAAGTTCTTTTCCAAATCGAAGTACATACATACATACATACATACATACATACATACATACATACATACATACATACATACATACATACATACATACATACATACATACATACATACATACATACATACATACATACATACATACATACATACATACATACATACATACATACATACATACATACATACATACATACATACATACATACATACATACATACATACATACATACATACATACATACATACATACATACATACATACATACATACATACATACATACATACATACATACATACATACATACATACATACATACATACATACATACATACATACATAGAATTAAAGTTAACATACATTTGTGAATATTGCAAATATAATTACATGTATTGGGGGAAATCAATGTCTACTATTGTTTCCACACAAATCATAAGTCTCATCACACATGTATGAGTCGTTAAAAAAAATATTTCAGTTATTTTATAATACCATGTAGATTGGAGTGACTGTCCAGCTAATACGGTAGCTGTTCTAGAAAGAAGTGAAAAATCAAAATCGATTATAATTTTACAATTAAAGTGACCACACTCTAGATTAAGGATAGTACAGTGCTGATTGTCTTCCCGCTAAATTATAGTGTCTAGTAATTTAACGGGAAGTCGTCTCTCTTTATTACAAAAAAAAAAAAATATGAACTGTATAAAAGGGATACCATTGACTCCTTGAAAAACAACTAGGTGGGTAGTTTTGTGGCATTACTACTTACTTGCTACGTAAGATCAATAGTAATTTTAACTCATACAACTAATACAAATGCATAAGAAGATGAAATAAGGCCATATTCATACATGAATACATTCATACAAACGTGTACTAAATATACTACATACATATGTATGTATGTAGTATATTTAGCAATAACAATAGTAAACACACGCACACGCATGCTGATAAGTATTTATGTAGACATTTAACTGGCATGATGTATTTGTTGCAAGGTAACGCTTGGCAGAACACGAAAGCCAATAACGCTCTTAAATAACATTATATGTATGTATGTGTAAAGGGTGTACCAAAATTTACGGTAATATTGAATAAAAAATGTTGGACCCTTCTGAGCTTCATATTAATTCCAATACATATATTTAAGCAATTTATTGGCGACAAACTGACTTTCTGCATGAGCTCAAGCGTCAAAAATGAACCGAACTTAATTTCGCTAAAAGCTGTTACTAGTCTTTTTTGGAAGTTGACTTTGTATGTACTGACAATTAATGAAAATTAATTAGACTTATTAATTAACTTATGTATATAAAGCCAAGATATAAGAGCTGTAATTTGATAATAACGTTTACTTAAAAAAAACGCACAGGTCGAACGGAGAATGTTAAATCGACTCGGATCTTTAAAGTGTGTGTAAAAGATCAGCACAGATGCTAAATATGAATGATTGGATAATAAAATCCCCAAAAAAATTAAAACATAATATTTTTAAATCGTACTGACACATTACATATTTAGTATTGTTTGTAGGCAAATTCTAGACAACTAGGTGATATATCATCCTATCGTTACAACAACATTATTTTAATACTCATTTGCATTCGGGGGCATTGGCAAAAACATAATATTAAGACCAGACCTGGGCGATTTCCATTAATTTTGCATTAACATTAAATTAAAAAAAAAAATAATTTAATGTAAAAAATATTGCATTAACATTAAATTTGTAAAATTGAATGCATTAAATTTCCATTAACATTAAATATTTTTGAATTTAATGCATTAATTTTACATTAACATTAAATATTTTTGAAATTAATGCATTAATTTTGCATTAACATTAAATATATCTGAATTTAGTGCATTAATTTTACATTAACATTAAATAAGCAATAAAATTAATGCATTAATATTCCATTAACATTAATATATATAAAAATTGATAAACGTAAATAAAAATACAGCACAAAAGACCTCGATCTAACTAAATACAACTAAAATTAAATAGGTTAAAGTCCTTTCTAATAACTCCTATATTCCATTCAAACTTGTGTGCTTTAAATATGATATTTATATAAGATTCCACAGACAAAATAAACTAAAAAAGGAATATCTGGGAAGTGATACTATTCTTCTAATAAGTATTATCGTGTATAGGACTTATTCGAAAGGACTTTAACAAAATAAACTAAAAAAGGAATATCTGGGAAGTGATACTATTCTTCTAATATGTATTATCGAGTATAGGACTTATTAGAAAGGACTTTAACACATTCAATTTTACTTGAATTTAGTTAGACCGAGGTCTTTAGCGCTGTATTCTTATTTTTATAAATTATTTTATACATTAATGTTAATGGAAAATTAATGCATTCATTTTATTATTTATTATTTAGTGTTAATGAAAAATTAATGCATTAAATTCAAAAATATTTAATGTTAATGCAAAATTAATGCAATAATTTCACAAATATTTAATGTTAATTGAAAATTAATGCATTAAATTTAAAAATATTTAATGTTAATGCAAATTTAATGCATTAAATGTACCCATGTTAATGTTAATGCAATAAACTTGCATTAACATTAATTTTTTTTAATGTAGAAAAAATTGTTAATGCATTAACACATTTAATGCATTTATCCCAGGTCTGATTAAGACCCTTAGTAAGCACGAATCGTATAAGTGTGTGTTTGCAAGCGTGTGTTTATTGGAATAACATTCTCTGTTACGTGTATTTTATACAATCCTACACACTCTACGAAATAAATATTTAACACGTGTTTCTTTCAGGAATGAATAAAAGAGAATAAATTGATACCAAAAATATATTATTTATTTATTTTTTTTTCAATTATTATTACTCAATTTTTTAAAATCATTTTCACAGTTGAGAAGAAATTTGATTTCAAATTATTTCGAATAAAATTTTAAATCTAAGTTTAAAATTAGATTTAATCATAATATGAAACTATATATATAGTAAAAAATATATAAAATTACAAAAGAGAAAGTATTAACACACACCTGCTGAAATTATACATACATATGTATATAAATATATATATATATATATATATATATATATATATATATATATATATATATATATATATATATATATATATATATATATTTTAGAAAACAATTGTAAACATGAAGTACATTTTTTTTATTTTAAATTTTTATTTGCAGCCTAAAAGACGCAATGAACGTAATATTCTTACATTTTATGAAAAAATCGCCGTTATACGTTATTACGATGAGACCAATATATCACGCAATAGTTTAGCTAAAATGTTTCATTGTTGTGCTACTCAAATTCGTCGCATATTGGAGCGTAAGCAGGAACTTTTACAACAGCTAGCCACTCTGAGTGAGGCAGATGCCTCAATTATAATCGAAGAGATGACACGCAAGAGACGTAAGTTTGAAATGAGCGCCATTAGTTTCATACTGCATCAGTGGGTGGAGAGATGTCGTCAAATGCGTCTGCGCAAAAGTATTACAAATGAAACACTTAAAGAGACGGCCGTTAAAATGGCTGCTATACTTAATCTGCCCGCTTTTCGTCCTTCGTATCGTTGGCTGAATCGTTTTCGCGGTAAATACAAGTACAACGATGAAGATTTAGGTTCGGGCCAGGGACCAAATACCATTGAGGGTGAATTGGCAGTTGAGGATATTATCATTGAATTTAAGGACTCCCTGCCAAGTTTTATGCAAAAGGAAATTTCTGCAATTACTTCGTCGGCTAAGGTTGATGATAATACCGCAACAGCAATTGTAAGTGAAGTGAAACGAACCGAAGTTCCGGTCATCATAAACGATGACAATAGCAATGATGATTTTGAAATATCCGATGATGATGACAACGATGATGACGACATGAATGACAGCAAAGAGAATACAAAGAGTCCGGCTAACAACGAAGACGATGATGTTCAAGTGATCGAAATTAAAACTAAAGAAACAATTCTACCAATACCTGTAAAACCCTCTCCGATGACAGAGGATTTAAAAAAAACTGATCTCGCAGTTCCGCAAGACTATCGTATGAATGCTGGTTCGGCTGCCTTGCTACACAGCATCTTTCCACATCTGGCCGTTATACACCAATTTGCCTTACTTAATTCGGATGTGAAAGCTTTGGAATTAATCTCCCAACTTGGAGTTCATATGAAAACTCAAGCAGACGAAGGTGCCTATAAACAATTGTCGCTGGCGACATCGGTTACCAATGATGTGAACGCGTCAGATTTTGACCCAAATAATGATAATATATATCCGGATATTGATGATATCGTTTTGATTGAATAACCATGTATGTACATACAATATGTACTTTAAATTGAATTTTTGTTTTATCAATTAAAGCAAATGTACTTAAAGCGTTCTCATATAAATATCTACAATGTATTTATGTATGTATTTAAATAGTTTTAAGTAATTTTTAGATGTATTTATGAATTCAATTTTTTGTTTTAATATTTATCTTTTAAATTCATCAGTATATTATTGAAATGAATTTAATAATAATTAAAAAAGGATAATAAATGTAATTTACATCCAAACCTAACTACGCTACTTTAATTAACTTTCTAAATATGTATTGGTAAAAATCTTATAAATTCGACCAATTTCTAAACACGATTTTATGAATGAGGTAAAATCAAATTAAATTTGACGTCTTTAACATTATATAAAATTAATTCAGTGAATTAATGCATAAGCTTAATTCGTTAGAATTAAATACTACAATCATTCATTCAAGGATTCATATAATAATTAAATCCTTTTTGATTGATTCATATATTGTATAATTTAAATATGTATGAAAATATAAGCGTTAGAAGTGCCCAAAGTTTTTGTTTATTTTATTTTGCAGTGTTATTTAATACTATATGTTTTTGTTTGATTTTAAATTTGAACAAATTAAACATAACATAAGCTGAAGTAATCGCTCTAAATGTATAATGGCAGCCTTTTAATATGGAAAATTTTAAGAAATGTACTATCACTTTCAATTTCAATTTAATAAATGTTGGAAACATCAGCAGCATTTGTTTTGGGACCAAACGGAGAAAGATCATTAAACTAAAGTTTTCCTACATTATTAATTGAGGGGTGTAGAAACAAAGCTAGCAATCTCTACTGTTGTAGTTTTCAAAACAAATAAAAAAAAACTTGTTTGTCGTACACAACACATATTGTTTTTAATCTGGAAGTGGATATACATACATAGCTGTCTTTAGATTTCGATTGAAACAATATTTATTGGCAAACACGGATTTGGTATTGGCGTCCTGACTGATTACAACCATTCAACAAATGTAACCAAATATCATCATAAGGACATTAAGGTATAAAATATTGATTAGTGTTACAATAATGTTGTTCAATATTTTTCCTAAAATACATGAGAATATCACAAATAAATAATAAAAGATAAAATTGTTATTGTAATTTAAGTTTGTCCGATTTTTACAAGTTTTTAGAAATAGAAGTCGAGATATGTATGTATCTATGTCATTTCGAAAATTAAAAATACACACGGGTAAATGTGTATTGACATTACCCTGCCAGCAATTTTGTAGTCGACTACGAGAAAAATTCAATTCTAGTTTACTTTTACAGACTGACTGTAAGCTAACTACAATGTAATGCAGAGCTGTCCCGAAATTTTGTATTTGGCAACGTAAAGAACCGATTTTTAAATACTAACTACAAGCTAACTATAATATAATGCAGAAGTGCCTCAAAATGATCTGGAGAGAATTAATTGTATTTCAACATGTTTTCTCTTGTTTCTCTATTATTATGATTTTAATTGTTAACTTCAGTAAACTGACTATAAACGAATAACAATGTAATGTAGAAATGTTCCAAAATTTGGTATTTATTAGCGTAAACAACCGACTTTTAAAGACTAGTTACAAGCTAACTATTATATAATGCGGGAGTACCCAAAAATTATCTGGAGAGCATTTTGTTTCGACATGTTTTCTCATGTTTTTTTATTATTTGGAATTTTGTTTTACATTTTTGTCATTTTCTTGTATACGTTGTGAAATTAGAGTCAGCAAGTTGGAAAAATTAATCATAAAAGGTTAAACCCTGCCAGCAACTCAACTAACTTTAAATGCATTAGAAGCCGACTTTTTCATCAACTAGTTATGGTTGATTCTTGGATTATTTTTAATGGAGCCAACTGACTATTTTAACATGGCGATGTCCTACGCAGTAGTCAATTGTCCGACACTGCATGACTTTTCAACTATCTTAATGTTAGTTACTAAAAAATTAGCTTAAAGGTAACTCTTTATTAACTAACTTAAAGTTAGTTGCAGAAAAGTCAAGTAATAGTTTTCTTTTGTATTCCCTATTGTATTAATTAATTACATTTTAATTAAATATATTTAAAATTTAACTACTAGTTATCTAAATTACATTTCGCTTTAATACAAGTTATGGTATTAGTTCGTTAAAATTAATAGACATCAGTTTTCTGCAGGGGAACTAATAATAACTATTATTAAATAATTATTTTGATCCAAATCTAAAATAAATTTTAAAATGTTATGTGTAATGTTAACTGTTAATGTATTTACAGCATTAATCAGCAGAATTTAGAATTTTGGGACCGAGTTTTGAAATAATTAACATTTTATAATTAATTTTTCCAATTTACTGACTCTAATTTCACAACGTATACAAGAAAATGACAAAAATGTAAAACAAAATTCCAAATAATAAAGAAACATGAGAAAACGTGTCGAAACAAACTGCTCTCCAGATATTTTTGGGGTACTCCCGCATTATATGATAGTTAGCTTGTAGCTAGTCTTTAAAAGTCGGTTGATTACGTTAATAAATACCAAATTTTGGAACATTTCTGCATTACATTGTTGTTCGTTTATAGTCAGTCTACTAAAGTAAACAAATAAAATCATAATAATAGAGAAACAAGAGAAAACATGTTGAAATACAATTAATTCCCTTCAGATAATTTTGAGGCACCTTTGCATTACTTTATAGTTAGCTTGTAGTTAGTATTTAAAAGTCGGTTCTTTACGTTGCCAAATACAAAATTTCGGGACAGAACTGCATTACATTGTAGTTAGCTTATAGTCAGTCTGTAAAAGTAAACTAGAAGTAAATTTTTCTCGTAGTCGACTACAAAATTGCTGGCAGGGAATATTTCAAAACTCGGTCCCTAAATTCTAAATTCTGCTGATTAATACTATAAATATAATACATTAACAGTTAACATTACACATAACATTTTAAAATTTATTTTAGATTTGGATCAATAGGAATAATGGAAATAATGAACAAATCATTCATAATTTTATGGATACCGGTGTTATTATTAGTTCCCCTGCAGAAAACTGATGTCTATTAATTTTAACGAACTAATATCATAACTTGTATTAAAGCGAAATGTACTTTAGATAACTAGTAGTTAAATTTTAAATATATTTAATTAAAATGTAATTAAATAATACAGGGGGGAATACAAAAGAAAACTATTACTTGACTTTTCTGCAACTAACTTTAAGTTAGTTAATAAAGTGTTACCTTTAAGCTAATTTTTAGTAACTAACTTTAAGCTAGTTGAAAAGTCATGCAGAGTCGGACAATTGACTACTGCGTAGGACAACGCCATGTTAAAATAGTCAGTTGGCTCCATTAAAAATAATCCAAGAATCAACCATAACTAGTTGATGAAAAAGTCGGCTTTAAATGCATTTAAAGTTAGTTGAGTTGCTGGCAATAGTTTTAAATATCTAATTCTAAACGAGTAGATAGATGGGTATTAATAAGGTTTAATATTTAAACTTACCAAATTAGTTGGTGGTACATAAATATATTCTCTACTACACTCTGGACTAGCAAGCTCGGGTAGAATGCCTTCGTCGCCCTCAGATTCATCAAACTCTTCGTCTTCTTCTTGTACGTCCGGATCTTTTAATCGAATTAAACTTTTATGATCAGTATACAAATAGTCTACATTGCGAGCACGTTCGTTCATTTCATGTTTAATTTTAAGACAATTTTCACACATTATGGCGTGCTGCTTTAACTGATCGGGTGTTCTCTGCGGGACTACACAGGTCGTGAAACGGTCCTCGTATTTACATTTCTTACAAAATGGCCTTAAAAAAATATTGTCTTGAGTTCTTTGGTGAATTTTACGAATTTCGTCCTGTAGCGTTAAAACTTTCGCTAAAGTCGAATTTTGCGGTACATCACAATCACGCTGATAAATGCAGTTTCCGGTAGACCATTCCGGCTGTGGCGTTCTAAAGTTTTCATCCATATATGTGCGAATCTCATAGGGATTTTTTGAAGGGCTTTGATTTGAAGTTAGTGATACAAATTTTTTATACATTTTGCTTTATTTTTGCTTTCACTATAAATTTGGAAGAAATAATTTTTTTATATAAAAACTTTTTTATTTAATTTTAAATTTAAAAATAGAACAGTTTTTTTATTATATCCTTTTAATTGTATTTATATAAAACAAATTTATAATAAAAAGTCAAAGATAGTATGATTTCAGTTAGTAAATCTGTGACTGTGTTTAGTATTTTTAATCCAGAAAAATATTGAACACTTTTAACAGTGTGATTCAAATAATTTCTATGCTGAACGCATTAAAATTTAACAAACAATATTTCAAGTTCTTATATCCATTCACATTGCTTTAATGAAGAAGAATAATAAAAAATCAGTCACTGAGAGTTTGTACCTATCTCGACTATTTTTCTCGACATTTTTAAAGCTCGTCAAAATAAAAATGTATTAATGATTACAAATTATACAATATACGACCATCCCAGCTGTACAAGATCCGAAATTATAGTCAAATAATATTTTGATATATTAAATATATATGTAGATGTAATAACTAAGTCGTCCTTGAGGAATTTAATAGACTTTTTTAGAAATTCGATAATTTCTAATTTTTCTTATAAAATTATAAGACTTGGCAGCTCTATACACATATATCATCCACAAATCTTCCACACATGTTGACATTCCCAACAGCTGTTTCCTATTGTTATTTTGTTATCTCTGTTGCTCTCACTTAGCTAAAAGCTAAACAAAGAGAGATAAAACATAAACAAAAACTGTAAATAAAACAAAATACAGCAAAAGAAAGAAAGGGTATAAATAAATAAAGTTAAAGAATTTTATGACTGTTGTTTTTTGTGTGCTATTCTTTTCATTATTTTCGATTTACACATATTTTCTGACATTTACTTGGAAGCGGTGGAGTTGAAAGAAGAAAAAATAATTTTTACATTATAAATACGCAATAAAACTTATAAGAAAACTATAAAATAAAAGTTAAAATCTTGTAAAACTGAAGTATTATACAATAACTATGAAAACCATGTAATATTGCCAGCAAAGTGACAATTGTGATTTTTAAATAACACAATAATTTGTGAAAAAATCAAAAAGAATCGGAACTTGAAAGTACATATTGCAACATACTATTTTCCGAGTGCATAGTAAAGTTAAAACTGTCATAAAGATTGCAGAAAATATAATAAGCTAATT